GGTTTGTTCCACGGTCATACTGTACGTGGTACGTAAATAGCACATCGGTTCACCTTTTATGTCTATCTATATTTTTTTCACCTTTTCTTCTCCAGCTATTTTCCCTTTTAATTTCCCCACTTTTTTTTCCTGAAACCCGGAGGGAGGCCACAATTTCCCCCTGGCATAAATAGGCGGGCGGCCTCTTCCCCCTGGTTTGTCCGTTCGCTGGACGGAGCTCGATCCTGCTGGGCTCGACCCCGTCGACGAATCGAGGTATCTATCGTCTGTCACCGCCGAGCCAATCAATCGCGCCCTTGCATTTCCTCCCCTGACCCGATTCCCTCCGTCTCATCTCATGCGCAGACACGCCGCGCCGGACGACGACTGCGCCCTCACGCGCGCAACAGTCGTCGAGCCCCGGTTCACGTCTGCCGCCCGCAGGCAGGGGCACCGCACGGCGATCGAAACAACAAAAAGGCAAAAGGTTCGTCCGGTCGCCCCCAGATTCCCACCATTCATCTTCCACTATTCCGCCTTGTTAAATGTTGATAATTTCTGGCACATTCGGACTTCAGAAAAGCTGGGAATTGACAATGTTTATTACTATAATTTGTGATGAATCATACGTTGCGTCGAAGCAAAGTTAGCAAACCGCGGCGGTGTTAGCATGCGGGTTACTGGAGAAGAGAATAGTAGCAAACGGCGGCACATGACGTGAGGCACAGGATCGCGTTCGGCGCGGGCCCCACAGCTGTTGGGATCGGGTACGAGGCATATAATTTTAGCTCCGCGAATATGCGCCCCCGAAAAGGATATCCGCTCCCAATATTCCCTTCGTCGAAAGACTAATCTATTCTTGGAGTCGCAGCCGGCCGCAAGCAAATCTGCGTTCTCTTTTCTTTTGCTGGGAAGGAGATCGAGCCCGGAAACCTTGGCGGGCGCGTGCGTGCGTCTCGTCACCCCCGGTATGAACAAGCTAGGCGGACGAGCAATTTCGCAGCGCGTTTGATTAGCGCAAGAAAGATATCGCTCTCCCGCACGCAGGACCTACCAGTACTACCAAGGGTGCGTATTTGGCCATGCCTCCTCAAAGTCCTGGCGCTTCTTTGGTGTTCTACTATTGGAGAACAGCACTGTTTTGACGTCTTCTTTAGAAGAAAAACAAGAGGAGGAAAATGCACCACCGCAACCACGGCGCTTGGAAATACTCTTTGTACTAACCAAGTGTGCATGCCCGTTTTCCTAGTTTACGTGGGGATTTCTGACCTGGCGCAGCGGCATTGCCAATGTCTTTTTAATCCCAACGTGGCAACACGTTTACACCATTTATGATGGATATTTTTTTTCCCACGCTTGGGTCCGTTGGACCATCCACGTTTCAAGGCACATGCCCCCCTCTTATATTTTATGAGCTTGTATCATAACACAAGCTAGTCAACTAAACAGTACTCGCTCATTACGCCTCTTGTCGTTAAGCAAGCGATCAGGCACCACAAAGAAGAAGAAGACCGTAGGGGCGGGCGTGACCTGACCGGGGAAACACCCGATCCAGCGGCAGCCCACGGGCACCACGAGCAGGAGTTGCCAAACATAAGCTGTCGCCAGCACCGGTATAAACACACGAGCAGCTACCTCCTCGGTGGCCACGGCCGAGGCGCCTCAGCACTTCCACGGTCCGCGCTCCCCACGACCCCGAGCCCCTCCCTCCCTCCCTCCCGGGTCACGCACGACGGCCCGACTCCCCAACAGCCGGCCGGAGACGAAGAAGAAGAGCACACATCCTCTGTTTCCTGGGCAACCTCCAGCGCCTCTCTCCGCAGGTAATGGCTCGCGTCATGCCGGCGCCTCTCCATCTTGCTTTCGGTTCCGTTTCGTCCGCCTGCGTCAGAAGAAGGCGGCTTCTCGCAGATGCCGGCCATGGCGGCATAACGGATCGCCCGACTTCTCTTCAACTGTTGTCTTGCAAGTTGCAAAGCTTCGGGCAACTTTAGCCGCTCTGCTCGTTCCGCTTTCTCTTTCAGATAGAGTAAGATCCGTTGGTTCGGTTGCTTCTGTTGTCGGGCTGCCTTGCCTTGCTTGCAAGACCGGCCTTGTCTTGCTTCTTCGCCTTTATATTCATTCGTGCCCTTAGGCTCGTATTCACGCATCTCTGTGCCCCCTGCCTACTCTTCTTCCCATTGCTGGTTGCTCAACTGTAGGTGAGCCTTGCTGCTGTGGTTGAAGGAGCTCTATTTTGTTGTTTCCTTGGTAATATTATTTCAGTTGATCAATCCAAGTTCAGTCGCACTTCTTGATTTTGGTAGTGATCATTAGATCTTGCCCCCCTCCATCGACCAAATCTCCCAATCAATTTCAGGTTAATGTCAACTGTATGAAGTTAGTGGTTGTTTTCTCTGCTCAATCCGGGGGTCCCTGATTTTAATTTTGAGCTTGGGCGCTTGGCTATCCTGTTAGGTTGATTCTGATGAAAAGTGCTCATTTGTAGGCATATCTATGCTGATGCCAGGGGCCGCTCAAACAAAAGATTCAATGATTTAACAATGTTTCCCTCGTATCATCCCACCTAAAAAATTCGTAACATCCAACCTAATCTTATGACAGCAAGTGCAAAGTGGTAGCAATATAGCGTGGTGTTTATTTTATTTCAGGAACCATCTAGTCCTTGGCCCCAATAATTCATCCAAGCATTGTTATAGGATCATTACTCCTTGTTGCAAAATAAGCATTTGCATCCGTCACTTTCATTTTCATAACTCCAAGTTCCACATTTCTGTCGAGCTGTCGGTCAGCACTTATGATCTTATCTGGATAATTCTGACGTTTGCCGTGTTTGGTTTTTTTCAGATATTAGGCAATAACACCAGCCGGCCTTCTTCCCGGCTACATTAACTACCAGTTTGTGGAGAAGCCAAATTCAGGCTCGCTCATGGGCTCCTCCGCTGAGAGCAGAAGCAGGATGGGTAGCATAAAGCCCATGGGGATTCAGCTCATCGAGTGTGTCCGTGGCGGCCCTCTCTCCTTCAGATCATCTCAGGCTCTTGTGTTGGTGCTCACCTTCCTGTCATATGCCAGTTACCATGCCACTAGGAAAACCACAAGCATTGTCAAGAGTGTTCTTGATCCCAAGACAACAAACCTGGGCTTGTTGCACTGGCCCAGCCATATGTATCTTCAAGAACTGAAAGGCGCGGCGAACAACACGGCTCTCCAGAGTGGCTGGGCTCCGTTCAACGGCGAGGATGGCACCAAGCTGCTCGGCGAGATCGACTTGGCTTTCCTTGGGGTGTATGCCATTGGCATGTTCTTTGCCGGCCATTTGGGTGACCGGGTGGATCTCAGGATCCTCCTGACCATCGGAATGGTAGGGACCGGGCTGTTCACCGCCGCTTTCGGAGCCGGCTACTGGCTCAACATCCACAGCTTCTACTACTTTCTCGGCGTCCAGATGATCGCCGGTCTGTTCCAGTCGTCCGGCTGGCCCTCCGTGGTCGCGGTCGTCGGCAATTGGTTCGGGAAGAGCAAGAGGGGGCTGATCATGGGGATCTGGAACGCTCACACCTCAGTGGGAAACATTTCTGGCTCGCTGATCGCGGCTGCCATGCTGAAGTTCGGGTGGAGCTGGTCGTTTGCAGTGCCCGGTGCCATGATTGCGCTGGTCGGGCTGGCCGTGTTTCTCTTCTTGCCTGTTGATCCTGAGGTGGTCGGGGTCGAGGAGGATCGCCATGTGAAGGACTACGAGAAGAATGGCACGGATGTGCCTCTGCTGGAGGGACATTCGAGTGGACGAGACGAGGCAGTGGGGTTCATCCAGGCATGGAGAATCCCTGGCGTTGCCCCATTTGCTCTCTGCCTCTTCTTCTGCAAGCTTGTCGCCTACACGTTCCTCTATTGGCTCCCTTTCTACCTCAGCCACACAGGTTCGTCTAGTTGTATATTATGCTGGCGGCACGTGGAGATAAAAAATGAATCTTTTTTTGACCTGACCACCGTTTTGTTCTGTTCCTGAATTTCAGAGATCGGGGGAGAATATCTGTCAGACTCCGCGGCGGGGATCCTGTCGACCCTGTTCGACGTGGGCGGCGTCGTCGGCGGCATCCTGGCCGGCCACATCTCCGACCGGCTCGACGCGCGGGCGCTGACGGCGGCGACCTTCACCTTCTCGGCCATACCGGCGCTCTTCTTCTACCGCATCTACGGGAGCATCTCGCTGACGTGGAACGTGGCGCTCATGTTCGTGACGGGGGTGCTGGTGAACGGGCCCTACGCGCTCATCACCACCGCCGTGTCCGCCGACCTCGGCACGCACAGCTCGCTCAACGGCAACTCCCGCGCGCTGGCCACCGTGACGGCGATCATCGACGGCACGGGGTCCATCGGCGCGGCCGTCGGGCCGCTCCTGACGGGGTACATCTCCGCCAAGAGCTGGAGCGGCGTGTTCACGATGCTCATGGCGTCGGCGCTCGTCGCCGGCCTGCTGCTGTCGAGGCTGGTCGTGGCCGAGATCACCACGAAGATGGCGGCGCCGCAGAGGCCCGTCGATTCGGCTGGCGATCTGCCCGTGTCGTCGCTGGAGGAGCCTTAGGCGGGGCCGGAGATGGCCGGACTGTACATTGAATTAGGATGGCACGAGGAGGGTGGCAGGCGGGGCTGGGAAATCGGGAGGTGCGACGGGAAGAAGGAGCGGGTTCCGCTCTGATTTTCCGTGTAGTAGGGCGCTCTTGGGTCTCATGTGATTGTGTCGTGCTGTGCATATGGAGTGAGTGATTGTTACGCCGAATTCGACCGGATAACAGTGCGGATTATTGCGCGCTGTCTGCTCCTCGATGTAGAGCATGTGCCGACCATTTAGACCACGGTGAAGAGCGGTGCTCTCTCTTTTGCAGTATCAGCGACAGATCAAGGAAACGAAGGCCGGCATTGTACTAAATTTGTAGCCACTTCGGAAAGTGTACATTGATTGTAGCGCATGATACTGTGAAATCTGAGATGTCCTTTCACCACTCGGTGACAAGTATGTTCGTATTCTGGTGTTTGTCAAGTGGCGGTTCCTCCCCCAAACGCACAATTTTATGTGGTCGTCATCAAAGAAAAATTGAAGGGGACCAAGGCCGGCGTAAAACGTCCTATAATTTATTAAACAGTATAACTCAGCTAATTAGGAGCCTCCATAGTGATTTGGGATCCTAAACCGTCCGATTAAGCGTATAAACGAGTGAGATCATTCCATCCTCTCGTAGCATTCATTTGCGCCTGTTCGCTGAAGTCGAACCAACATCAAAAGGGCCGCTGCTCCGCAGGCTTATTTCTGAGCCTTCTGAAGTACTGGGTTGTGAGGTCGGCCGCCCGGTGACTTAGGTGGTGTTTGGTTCTCTAGTCCTAGGAATTTTTCTAGTCTTTGGGACTTTTTAAAAAAACTCTCAAGAAGGTGCTTCTAAGGGCTTTTAACAAAAAATCCTCCCATCCTATTTGGTTTGTTAAAGACTTTTTTTATTCCCAACACAAAAAAGTCCCTGAAACCAAACACCCCCTTATTTTCTGTCGTGAGAGCGATCGGGCTGCCGATCCGTGGTGCTGCAGCCTATTTTCCTGATTAATGGTGCAAGAAAGTAGCGTGCAACTTTGGCTACCTTTGTCAACTTTGGCTACCTATGGTTCTACTGCACCATTCTTTTTTCCTTTTATATTCCTGTACTACGCAGCATCTACCTTGCAAGGCTAAAACGAGGACATCATCATTCTTTGTTCCTTCTATTATTCCTCAACTACGTAGCAACTACATTTTTTTTCTGGAATACGTATTAGCAGTATTAAAGGAGAAGCGGCAAAGAAGCTGGATATAATGTCTTTCGGCCATTGCAACACCAATCACAAGAACTAGCATCCACATTCATCAAACACACCCACAACGTGTACTAAGATACATGCTTCACCTAGGCCAACCTCATGCCGATGGTGATGGGGCAAGCCACAGAGCAACCAAACCGCATCATAACCGACGCCAGAGACCTCTACAACAAGACCAAAACACAAAGCCAACACAGACCAACGTACCCCATCCATTGCGCCGACAAGAAGTCGGCAAGTGGACGGTAGGGCCTGGGCGGATCTAGAGACGACGTCATCGAGAGAGCGTCCGTGATGGTGTATATTGCACCAAGGAGGCCCACACCCATAGTAGAAGCCAACACCGAATTGAGCCGTGCCACCGGAACTCCTTGAGCAACAAGACGACGCCTCCAAGAAGAGGACGGCGCCATGACGCCACCGTTGCCGCCGCCTGGTCCAAAGGACGGACCAAGGGATTCCCCTTAGCACGGCAAGGCTACAATGAACGATGACACATACCACACAAATATGATCCACCACTTATTCAATTATTCAAATGCCTTAGCAAATGTTATGCATAGACAAAAAAATGCACAATGACAATCCAATGCTTACTTAGATAGCATTCAATTATGCAACTTGTACCTAAAGTTTCAATAATGCCCAACTATCTATATTGAAGTAAGTTTTTTTTCTTTTTTGTGATGTCCAGATTTTCTCATATATTTGTATTGTTCTTCCAATAAAATGCACAGGCGCAGCAATGCGCGCCCTTATGTTCTAGTAAACCATAAAATTACCTAAACAATGTAGTACGAGGTTAAGGGAGTTACAAGAGGGTTGTTACAAGATACTCCCTCCGTTAAGTGTTTCAACCTTACTACAACTTTGTATAAGCAGTAATGTTGATGAATTGTTGATTAGGGAAACCTGGCCAAACGGCAGTATGTTGAGGGTATGTCATGTCTGTTTTGTGAAGAGCTTGAAACACGCACTTATTTATTTGTTTCTCGAACGCTCTATTGGAGATCGAAGAGACGTGACCGATGTTGATCAGCTCATAGGTACTAGCGGATTGGCTCAATCATCGTTGCTTTTTGTGCAGCTCATAGGAATCAAGTTACAGACTGCAACGAGACCTCTGTTTTAGATGCGGATGGAGAAGCATTGCAATAGCGTGCTCCCGATGGAGTGTCATATGCTCGCAGGCTGCAAACGTGCAGCTGGACTGTGTGACTTCCTCACCGTAGCTGCTGGCTCGCTGTCCACCCCTCCTACTCTGTCTAGATCCTGGCTAAAAAGATGGGCGGCGAGTATACCTGGCCAAACCACGGGCCGGGCCTAGCCAAGTCTGAGCCAAAAAACCTGGGCTCGAGCCCGGTCCAGCCCGGCCATCGGGCCTAGTTTTTGGCCCAAGTCTGGCCCGAACACGCAAAACCCGTCGGGCCTCGGGCCGGGCCCCTTTAGAAAACTGCAAAAATGATGGGCCCGAGCCTGGCCCAAGAGTAGCGTCGGGCCGGGTTGGGCCGGGCCGGCGGGCCCGGCTGCCCATGGCCAGGACTAGCGGCGAGTTATATCAAGCTCTTCGGTGTTGCTCTCGTGTGCCTGTAGCGTGAACCCAAAAATCTGAGAGCCTAACGCTCCTAAACTGGCTGCAGCCCGGTGTAGACTCTGGGAGGAGATCCCGACCGTAGTTGATAGAACTCCGGTGTAGATTTTTTTTTTTGAGAAATCCCCTATGAGGACAGGTCCTGCATTTCATTAAAAAGAAAAAAGTTTGGCCCAGTTTATAAGAAAAATCGGACCCAAAAACCTAACATTCTCGGCTAATCAGAGAAAACCGAATGAAAACCCAAAAACGAAAAAAGCGAGAAAAAAGAGGCGCTAAAGCTTGGGGATAGGGACAGGGACAAGACAAATGCTAAAGCCAGATACCAAAGCGACAGGCCCAAAGCAGTTAGCTGAGGCTCAAGTGCGACCAAACTAACCACCACTCACTACGGCCTAGATTCCTACCATCTCTTTGCGGCGAGGAGATTTGAGTTTCTCATCATATGGTGAAATTTGATGTCAGGTGCTTCAGGTCCATGCAAGGATTCGACATGGTCAAATCGGCTCCAATAGGGAAGCGGCGACAGCGGCATGCCGACGTATTTTGGTGGTAATAGTGGTCATTTGATGGTCTCAAAATCTTAATGTATTTTTTTATTATGTTTGAGATGCTTTGTACTTTCGATGAATTTTTATAACTAATCTGGTACTTTTCGCAAAAAAGAAGAAGACGGAGGAGCTATAATTGCCAACGCGAAAGGGATTGTGATAATTTTGTTTGCAAAACCAACCTTTTGCCCATTACAAGTGCTTGACTAACCAATATTTTCAGGTTTTCATGGTTGAGCTCCCATTGCTATTTCTCAATGGAAAATTACAACAGAAGTCAATTCTCTTATGGACAAAGTCATACTGAAAACCTGGCTCTTTTGATCAAAAGAACAAATGAGGGTAGCATGATCAGAGAAGATAATAAAGGCAGTGATCGGATCTACAATCCCACGAACAAAGATCGATCATGTAAAAACAAGATAATTCAACACTATTCATACTGACTGAAGAATATACTTAAATACAAGGGTATGAACTTTTTATTAATCTACAACTCATTTTCTTATTAGCCTAGTGCTGGACTAGAAAAACGCCACTAGCAAATATAACTAACTCGATGGTACATTGGTAGCCCTGGTGAAAATCTGCTGGCTGGCATGAAGGGACACCTCCCTCACGAGCCCCCTTGCCATCAGGTCCTTGATGCCCCTCTTAGCCAGGGACGCATTGATCTGCAGGAAGATGATGCTAGGTGAGATCTTCAGATAATCATCCTGTCTAAGCTGCGCATTGTACCCGGGTTAATCAAGAAGAGAACCGTATGATCGATCGTACGTATACGTACCCTAAGGCGCTCAGAGAGGACGGAGGGGGTGACGAGCTTGTACTTGGGCGCCTCGGACAGCAGTGGCGGAGCCAGAACTTTTGTCGAGCCTGGGCAAGCTTGAGCCGAAGTGTCTAATGTCGAAATTAAAACGTGATGTTGTTCCGATAGATACAACATATAAAATAGCCTCAAACTTCCGTACCACAAATCCACATTAATAACGAAAAAACGAATTTAAAAACAAAGTCATACAAATGTGGTTTTAAAGTGAACTAATATGTAGCATATCGATATTCAGTTTCATAGACCAAAATGAATTTGAGACTTGACAATAAAAGTCATAGAACAAGGCCATGCATGGAACCAAACTCATCTTGTTCCAAGCAAAAGTACGGCTATCCAAATTACCATCCAAATGTCCTAAAAAATACTACAAGATAAAAAACAGATTCTGAGTTCACATAAATTCATCATTGTAATTTGTTGATATATTCAAAATAGAGAGCTTGTAGGAATAAACGGAACATAGAATAGTGTGTTAAAGAAAATCACAAGGCAGATGTAATTTGTGATACTTCGTTGCAATGAATGTTCAAATAATATTTTTATCATGATCTAACTTGAAAAAAAATCAACGGTCTGAACTTAAAATCTAAGCCCTAATCTATCCATCCCTAGATGTGGATAGGCACATCAGTTAGCAATCTTACCTAATCTGATTACGAAGGAAGGAATGAGTGGGCAAGGTTGCAAGCCGTTCCTGCCTTCCCCGGGACAGATCCGCTCATCCCGCCGCTGGCCGCGTGCCGAGGCCAAGGCCAGCCTCC